TTAGAGCGGGGGGCATTTAGCGAGCTCCCGCTGTAGTAAAACATTTCACTGATTATGTAAATAAAACACTTTAAAATTACTCCTGTGATATAGTTTTGGCTTGGTCATGCACTATATTTCAAGCTTTTACAAATAAAAGTATTTTTCTGAAAGTGCCTTAAAAGAGCAGAGCATGTCACTCTATTCGATTGTTTATGTTAATGTACATTGTTTTTAGGGACGAAGGACAGGAATTACAAACTGCCATGGATATCACTGCTGGTACTGTGCTGGTAATATCTATCTATATCTATCTATGACTGTATATACGGATAGTCATTTAACCCTCATTAATAAGTTTGTACATTTTTTACAACCTTAATTTGCAGATGAACAGGAGGCTCAGAGAAGTTAAGTAACTTGCCTAAGATCACATAACTAAATAAACGGCAGAGCTGGGATTTGAACCTGGATTTGTCTGACTACAAACCATGACATATCGTTTATAGCTACCTCAAGGCAACATGTCCAAAGCCAAATTTATTTTTCTAATATCCTCCCTGCCCAAAGTTGTTTCTTCTACCAGCTTCTCATAGTTCAGAGCACCACTGTTTACCAACATGCTCAAGCTAAGAACCTTGGAATAGTCTTTTATTTCCTACATTTAAAAAAATGAAGTATAGTTAATTTACAATATTGTGTTAGTTTCAGGTGTACAGCAGATTCAGTTATACATATATAGATAATTTTCCATTATAGGTTCTTACAAGATATTGAACATTGTTCCCTGTGTTATACAGTAAATACTTGTTGCTTATCTATTTAATATATAGTAGTGTGTACCTGTTATCCCCACACACCTAATTTATCTGCCCCCCCTTTCCCCTTTAGGAGGTTTGTTTTCTATGTCTGTGAATCTGTTTCTGTTTTGTAAATAGATTCATTTGTATTTTATAGATTCCACATACAAGTAATATCATATAATATTTGTCTTTGTCTGACTTCACTTAGTATGATATTCTCTAGGTCCATCCATGTTGCTGCAAATGGCATTATTTCATTCTTTTTTTTCCTTTTGATTTTTATTTACATCTTTATTGGAGTATAATTGCTTTACAATGGTGTGTTAGTTTCTGCTTTATAACAAAATGAATCAGTTATACATATACATATGTTCCCATATCTCTTCCCTCTTGAGTCTGCCTCCCTCCCACCCTCCCTATCCCACCCCTCCAGGCGGTCACAAAGCACAGAGCTGATCTCCCTGTGCTATGCGGCTGCTTCCCACTAGCTATCTACCTTACGTTTGGTAGTGTATATATGTCCATGCCTCTCTCTCGCCGCTTTGTCACAGCTTACCCTTCCCCCTCCCCATATCCTCAAGTCCATTCTCTAGTAGGTCTGTGTCTTTATTCCTGTCTTACCCCTAGATTCTTCATGACATTTTTTTTTTCTTAAATTCCATATATATGTGTTAGCATACGGTATTTGTCTTTCTTTCTGGCTTACTTCACTCTGTATGACAGACTCTAGGTCCATCCACCTCATTACAAATAGCTCAATTTCGTTTCTTTTTATGGCTAATATTGCATTGTATATATGTGCCACATTTTCTTTATCCATTCATCCGATGATGGACACTTAGGTTGTTTCCATCTCCGGGCTATTGTAAATAGAGCTGCAATGAACATTGTGGTACATGACTCTTTTTGAATGATGGTTTTCTCAGGGTATATGCCCAGTAGTGGGATTGCTGGGTCATATGGTAGTTCTATTTGTAGTTTTTTAAGGAACCTCCATACTGTTATCCATAGTGGCTGTACCAATTCACATTCCCACCAGCAGTGCAAGAGTGTTCCCTTTTCTCCACTTCCTCTCCAGCATTTACTGTTTCTAGATTTTTTGATGATGGTCATTCTGACTGGTGTGAGATGATATCTCACTGTAGTTTTGATTTGCATTTCTCTAATGATTAATGATGTTGAGCATCCTTTCATGTATTTGTTGGCAGTCTGTATATCTTCTTTGGAGAAACGTCTATTTAGGTCTTCTGCCCATTTTTGGATTGCGCTGGCTGGGTAATATTCCATTGTATATATATACTACATCTTCTTTATCCATTCATCTGTTGATGGACACCTAGGTTGCTTCCGCATCTTGGCTATTGTAAATAGTGCTGCTATGAACATTGGGGTGCATGTAAGGAACCTTAGAATAGGCTTTTTTTTAAATTAACTTTTATTGGAGTATGGTTGCTTTACAATCAACCAGTATGGTTGCTGTGTTATGGAATAGTCTTAAACATCTTACTCCCACCACCTCCACTGTCACACACACACACACACACACACACACACACACCCCTCTACGTTTTTTTTCAAAAGTCCATCCCATCCTCCTATTATCTCTTCAGATAAGCCTCACATCACTTTCCTGCGGCACTATAATAGCTTCCCAATTCATCTGTCTACTCCCATGCTTGTTTTCTGATTTATCCAAGCCACGTATTTATGGACACAATGATATACCACGCAGAGATGAATAATACCTCATTTATCCAGAGGTCAGTCTTCCAGCTGACTCAGCCTTCTAAATCATAGTCTCAAACACCTACGTGAAAAGGTACTAGGAAACCCCAAATCGCAACTCCAAACCTGTGCCATGGAAAGGCTGAGGCTGTCACTCAAGATTCCACTGGATTCTTATTTGAAATGAATTTCACAAGCTTAGTTGATATTTTACAGTCTGCAGCAGGCTTAGGAGCAGTAAGATTCTAGAGGAGAGCCATATAAAGCTGTAGTACTCAAAATACAGACTCTGGACCGGCAACATCTGCATCACCCAGGAGCTTGCTAGAAATTCAGAATCTCAGAACCTATTCCAGACCTTAGAATCAGAGTGTGCCATTTTAACAAGATCCCCAGGTAATTTGTAGGCACATTAAAGTTTTAGATGCACTAATTGAAAGCAAATTAGATATTTGAAAATCAAACTTCACAACAAATTGGGGGTAATCATGTTTCCATTAAGAGCTAATAGGCATCTTTTAAAAAATAAGCTCTATTAATGAATTTTGGATGACTGAATTGCTTTTTTTTTAAAGTTTCTATCAGGACATGCCTATTAAAATTTTCTAAGGCAGTGGTTCAGAACTGGGATGTTATTTGGAAGAGAAATTGCCACTAACTATACATGCTAAACTCAATTTATATATACTACTACTCTAACCATCAAAAATGGTATGTCCATAAGTGTCTCACATTCATGAGATTGTATGTTTCTGGAGGAAAAAAAGTTAAGAACTAGTGAGTAATGGTTTTCAAACTTTTCACTGAATTGCCTCTAAGGTAGAAGATAATGAACATTTTTCTCTGGTGGTCAAAGTGTCCCCCATAATAATGAACTTCTTTTAAGTTCATTACATTAAGTAGTATGTAAATTTTATATTGTTTAATATGTTTAAAGATATTTTAAAAATCCACTCCAAACAGAAGATACAATGAGTAAGGAAAATTTTTATAACCTAAGGTGATAAAGTTGATCCAGATATTATAGAACATAACTAAAATATTTAGTAAATGAACCAAAACCAGAGGGAGGGAGGAAAAGAATTGTTCCTAGCATTCCAGTTGTATTTTTAAGTGTATTTTTACTGATTTACCTGGGAACCATGTGTATTCTTACTTATAAGATAATACAACCTGATTTCTACTAAACCTACAAATGAACTCTCAGAAAACCCCTCCTTCTTAAGTTGGAGACTACCTATACATACAAATACATCTACTGCCACTGTTAAAGGAATCAGCTTATATTTTGACCATGTGAAAATAATAAAGTCTATTGCTCCAAATCTTTTTTCTTATCAAAAGATAATACCAGGAAGAAAGTTCACAAGTGACATGTAATTCCTCTCCTTTGCATATACCCAAGAGAACTGAAAGCATACATCTACACAAAGACTTGTACATGAATGTTCATAGCAGCATTATCCATAATGGCCAAAAAGTGGTAACGATCTGAGTGTTCGTTAACTGATGAATGGATAACCAAATATGGAATACCTGTACAATGGAATATTATTCAGCAATGAAAAAGAATGAAGTACTGTTGCATGCTTCAACATGGATGAACCTTGAAAATATTATTCCAAGTGGAAGAAGCCAGTCACAAAAGGCCATATCTTGTATGATTCCATTTAAATGTAATGTCCAGAATAGGCAAATCCATAGAGACAGAAAGCTGATTGGTGGTTGCCTGGGGCTAGGAATGGGAGCAGAAACTGAGTGCAAATGGATATGAGGGGACCTTCTGGGGTGATGAAATGTTCTCAATTTGATTGTGGTGATAATAATCGCACAACTCTATATACATTTGCGAGGCATCTTGGAACCATACATTTACAATGGGTAAATTTTTGGTATATAAATTATATGTCAATACAGCTATTAAAAATTTAAAAAGTTATAAATGCCTCCCCAGAAGAAACCCCACAAAGCTTGAAATGATTTATTTTCTAAGAATATAGGCCAACTTTATTGTGTGGCATCACACACACGTACATTTGGCATATTGCCACAGAAGACTGGTTTGATAATCATGGTTCTGAAGTGTTACAAGCAACTGTTTGTTTATTCTTAACATGTTTGGCAAAATAAAGAGATTCATTTAACTCATTAACAGCATCCCAAGAATGATACTGCCAAAGAGAAGGCTGAAGGAAAAGGTAACTTTAAAGCAATGAAACGGCCTTATGTCTTGGGTCGTATAAAGATGGACTGACATCATGGTCTTTTTCTAACCTTATATTATCAGTGGTCAACCTCATTATTTACCTTGCTGACATTTAAATATAATTCATGGTAGGTTCAGTTATATTATAGTGGCAGCAGTTCCTCTCTATGTAGTGAAATATGTAAATGTAAAGTTTTAGTTTTTATTGATCAAATATATCAATGACCATTTACATTAAACCTTTTTCCCTCCTAAATCCAAGAATATATTAAAAGTTAGCATATGATAACTAAACACCAAACACAAACTTTTATTGGAATATTTTATTTACATTTTATATTTAAAGAGAATCAATACAAATCGGGACATATTTACAGCATTTCAAATCAGTGTACAAGAATGCAATGGTTTCATCCATTCTACATTTACCCAACAAAAATACATGTCTATTCTGCTTTTGCCTAAATTCTGCTGGAATGTGTACTGGAAACAAAACTCTAAAACCAAAGATAAGCCACAGAGAATAGAAGTAAAGTGCATTTTAATAATAGCTCTATTTAACTTTGGTGGATGAAGCTTCAAACTTTTTATTAAGGCACCTGGAATTCTCCCCCTCCCCCAATTCTTTTTCAAACACCAAGAAAATGCATTCACAAAATTTATAGCTACATGGACAGAATTTTAGTTTACCTAATGTTATTTTAGCCCATTTAGGTAAAATGTAAACTCAATTTTCAAAGTCAACATTGTTTGGAAAATATTTTCTACAGAGTAATTTCTGTAGACAAATTCATACACAAAGATCAATTACCAATTTTTGTGTGACTTATTCATAATCATTTTCAAATAGTATGATGATTTATATACTCTGCTTTTGAAAGTCCCATAAGTAAAGTTTGAGAAATAGTTATACAGTGTTTCTGTAAGTACAGTTTTTGTCTATCATCCTTTGTCAAATTGGTGTCACTAATATACCAATCAATCCAGTCCAGTCCATATTCTCTGATAAACTATGCTTGACACTCATATGAAGTACATTTAGCCTAATTTTAAAAACAAAAAATAGTTAAAATGAATATTTTGCTTTAATCTTGTTCTATCAACTTAATGTAGCTTAAATAGACATTTCATGAAGTACTAGCCTAAGTTTGCATTGTTTTTTACATTACAATTCCAGATCAATATAAGCACCTGGAGAAAAACCCTGACACATATAGCCCAAGCTAAAGTAGTATTATTTGTAATTAAGATACTATCATAAAATAAAGTGATTACAGCTACTCCACATTTTAAAAGCAACATGTTTTTATAAGAAAATTGTTATAAATGGAAAACATGACTACTTGACAAGAGTTTTGAATGTTTAAAAATGTTGCTACACTATTGAGAGGAAACTTGCCTATGAAAAACATTATATAATGAGTTTGTGGAAAAAGTTAATAGGTTAAATATTTTAAGTCATTTAACTATAGCATAATATTAGTCATCTCATCACTTTCAGTATCATTCTTATTAAGTTATTCTAGTTCATTAATAGCAAACTAGGCCCTGATTGGCAGTTCTGTTATTACTAAAGGTTCAAGTTTTCTATTGACACAGATTTTATGATTTAATTTCTCGAACAGCAGTCTCTCGATCAGGAGTTTCATCTTCTTCAAAGGTTGGGTTGTCAACATGAGGGACAACATCCACTGCCATGGAACTTGCTTCATGGTTTACCAGCTGTAGATTTTCATCTTTAAAGAAATGGTAATTTTAGGATGATTTCACCCCTCTCTTCTTTAAGACAAAATTCAACACACGTCTAAGAAGGCTTACTTATCTAATTCCATCATACCCTGATTCTTACGCTCATTCCCTGTTCCTTTAATATGATTTGTGCTGCCTTACATAAAGCACATATGGCATTATTTTAATTTACAATTACAATTTTATTGATTCACACGTGTGCTTACTTGTACCTAGATTATAGCATCCTTAAGAGCAAAGTTATATCTTCCACTTCTCTATTCTAAATGTAATAGCTCTTAAATCACACTTCAATCACCTGGGCACTTTAAAAAATTACCTATGCTGTGCATAGATATATAGATAGATAAATAGATAGATAGATAGAGAGAGAGAGAGAGAGAGAGACAGACAGACAGGCAGAATGACTAAAAAAAATCAACCAGGAAGTTGTGGGGGGGGCAGGAGTCCCCAAAATGGAATGCAAATAGTAACAAGTGAATATAATTATATTACAGATGAAATATATAATCATCCCAAAGAGAGTGGGAAAGAAAAGAACTAACCTAAGTAACTTTGGAAAATGATACTTTGACTATATCCTATAAGGCTAAAACCAAAGAACTACACTGTTTAGTGAAACTGTTTTTCACAGGGGTGTGTTAGCAATGTTGAAACTTAGGTGTACTTTAGGATTGAACAAATAAGTAAATATATTGTGGATAATAACAACCAGGTTTCTCAATGTCAGAGAAAGGAGTTACAAATAAGGAAAGGGGAAGGCTAGAATAAACTCTGTGGTATTGGACTGGAATCAGAAATATCAGTATGAACTAGCAGTTCTTCAGATAGATAGGTGAATGTAGATGTGTGTGTATATTTGTGTGAGTACATACACATATTTCCTAGCGTTGTTCCTTGAAAGGGCTAATAGCAATGACACCCCAATAGCAATGAGCATACCTAGTGCCCAGATCTTGATTTCGAGGTACTGTTCTCCAATAAAAGCCCCCACCCCCTGTAGAAATAACTGATTCCAGGGCTAGGACAAGGAAAGTGCAAGATTAATCTAGATTCTAGCCCAGGGATCAGCAAACTATAGCTTGCAAGCCAACTCCATAGCTAAGAGTGTTTTTTTCATTCTTAAGAGGTTGGAAGAGAAAACAACCAAAAGCAACAAAGACCTATGGCCTTCAAAACCTAAAAAAAAAAAATGATGGGGCATGTTGAAAGAAAACAAACCAACTTGAGGGAGTTCCCAATGACCAAATCTAGGACAATCTAACCATGAATAAATCATGAGAATAATATTATGGAATAAAAGAAATATCTATGAGTCCATAATATTATAAATAAATAATTGAATAAATAAGTAGAGAAAGGTAGCTCTTCCTTAAAATAGAAGCTTAATTAATGTAGAAAGAAGGATGGAAAGAGAAAATCACCATTTGGCACACATTTCAGTAATAATTATTGTAAGCAAGAAACATCAGTGATTGATAAAATTAGTAGGTAAAAAGTATGATGAGAAACAGGATATTTGCATAGTCTCCAAGTGTCTCTCTATAAAATAATTAATAATTATAAAGGGAAAAAGAATAACTTTAAAAGGAGAAGCTTGGCAGATGCCACCTTAACCAAGCAAACAAAATTAAAACCATTGGTAATAAGACATGGGCATCATGTGCCTCATTATATGATATGAGCCAGAGAAGGGCACAATATAATTTCTGTGGTATTCTTGCCAGAAATAGACAATGGACAATAAATTTAATCATTGGGAATCAGGAGACAATTCCAAATTGAGGGACATTCTACAAAATAACTAACTGGTGGCCTTCAGAAGTGTCAAAGTCATGAAAGAAAAAGACTAAGGAACAGTCACAGATTGGAGATGAAGAAGACGTAACAGTTAAATGCAAATTGGGTATAGAAGGAACATTCCCAAACATAATAAAGGACATACATGGGGACTTCCCTGGCAGTCCAGTGGTTAAGACTCCATGCTTCCACTGTAGGGGGCGTGGGTTTGATCCCTGGTCAGGGAACTAAGATCCCACATGCCGCGTGGTACAGCCAAAAAATTTTTAAAATAATAAATAAATAAATAAAGGACATACTTGACAAACGCACAGTTAACAACATACTCAAGAGGAACAAGACAAGGGTACCCACTCTCACCACTCCTATTCAACATAGTACTGGAAGTCCTAGCCAGAGAAATTAGAAAGGAAAAGAAATAAAAGGCATCAAGTGACTTCCCTGGCAGCCCAGTGGTTAAGACTCCGTGCTTCCAATGCAGGGGACGTGGGTTCGATCCCTGGTCGGGGAAACTAAGATCCCACATGCCGTGCAGCATGGCCAAAAAATAAAAAAAAAAAAATTTAAACAAACAAACAGAAAAAAGGCATCAAAATGAGAAAGGAGGAAGTAAAATTGTCTGTTTCCAGATGACATGACCTAGAGAAAATGCTAAAGATACCAACAAAAACTGTTATAACTAATAAACGAATTCACTAAAGTTGCAGGTTACAAAATCAACAGACAAAAATCAGTTGCATTTCTATACACCAGCAATGAAATATCTGAAAGAGAAATAAAGAAAACAATCCCATTCACAATAGCATCAAAAAGTAATATAATACTTATGAATAGATTTAACCAAGGAGGTAAAAGATTTGTACTGAAAACTATAAGACATTTATAAAAGATATTGAAGAGGGCACAAATAAATGGAAATATATCCCACGTTCATGGATCAGAAGAATTCATATTGGACTTCCCTGATGGCACAGTGCTTAAGAATCCGCCTACCAATGCAGGGGACACAGGTTCGATCCCCAGTCCGGGAAGATCCCACATGCCACAGAGCAACAAAGCCTGTGTGCCACAACTACTGAGCCTGCGCTCTAGAGCCCATGAGCCGCAACTACTGAGCCCACGTGCCACAACTACTGAAGCCCACATGCCTAGAGCCCGTGCTCCACAACAAGAGAAGCCACCGCAATGAGAAGCCCACGCACAGCAACGAAGAGTAGTCCCCGCTCGCTGCAACTAAAGAAAGCCCACGTGCAGCAACAAACACCCAACACAGCCAAAAATAAGTAAATAAATAAATAAATTTATTAAAAAATAGGAATTCATATTGTTTAAATGTCCATACTACCCAAAGCCATCTGTAGATTCAGTGCAATCCATATCAAAATTCCAAATGCATTTTTCACAGAAGTATAAAAAAAATCCTAAAATTCATATGGAACTACCAATGACATTGGATAGCCAAAGCAATCCTGAGAAAGAGGAACGAAGTGGGGAGGCATCACACTTCCTGATTTCAAACTATACTACAAAGTGTAATAATCAACGCAGCATGGTACTGGCATAAAAGCAGACAAATAGATCAGTGGAACAGAATTGAGAGCCCAGAAATAAACCCATGTGTATGAGACCATGTGTATGAGATGAACTAATATTTGACAAGGGAGCCAAGAGCACTCAATGGGGAAAAGACAGTCTTCAGTAAATGGTGTTGGGTAAACTGGATAAATATGCAACAGAATGAAACTGGACCCCTATCTTACACCACTTAAAAAATGAACTCTAAATGGATTAAGGACTTAAAAAGCCAAAGTCAACAAATGGGACTACATCAAACCAAAAACCACCTACTCCGCAAGAGAAATAATCAAAAGAATGAAGAGGCAAGCTACAAAATGGGAGAAAATATGTGCAAACCACATATCAGATAAGGGGTTAATATCCAAAATATATAAGGAATTCATACAGTTCAATAGCAAAAAAGCAAATAATCTGATTAAAAAATGGGCAGAAGAACTGAGATATTTTCCCAAGGAAGACATACAAATGGCCAACAGGTATGTGAAAAGATGCTCAACATCACTAATCAGGGAAATGCAAATCAAAACCACAATGAGATATTGCCTCACACTTGTTAGAATAGCTATTATCAAAAAGAAAACAGTTAAGTGTTGGCAAGGATGTGAAGAAAAGGGAATTCTAGTGCACTGTTGGTGGGAATGTAAATTGGTACAGCACTACGGGAAACATGTATGGAGATTCTCAAAAAATTAAAAATAGAACTACCATATCATCCAGCAATCCCACTTCAGGGTATATATCCAGAGGAAATGAAATCACTATCTTGAAGAGAGAGCTGCACCTCCATGTTCACTGCAGCATCATTCACAATAGCCAAGACACGGAAATAACCTAAGTGTCCACTGACTGATGAACACATAAAGAAAATGTGGTGTGTGTGTGTGTGTGTGTGTGTGTGTGTGTGTGTGTGTGTGTATATATATACACACATATGAAACAATGGAATATTATTCAGTCATGAGAAAGAAGGAAATCTTGCCATTTGCAATGACATGGATGGACCTTGAGGGCACTGTGCTAAGTGAAATAAGTCAGACAGAGAAGACCAATACTGTATGATATCACTTATATGTAGAATCTTAAAAAAAAAAGCCAAATTCATAGAAACAGAGTGGAATGGTGGTTTCAAGAGGCTGGAAGGTGGGGGAAATGGGGAAATGTTCGTCAAAGGGTACAAGTTTCCAGTTATAAGATAAATAATTTCTGGGGAATCTAACATATAGATGGTGACTACAGTTAACAATACTGTATTAAATACTTGAAAGTTGCTAAGAGAGTAGATCTTAAATGTTCTCACCACACACACACACAAAATTCGTAATTATGTGAGATGATGGATTTAACTAATCTTACTCTGATTATATGTCAAGTATATTTCAATAAAAGTGGGGAAAAATGAGAAAAGAGGAAATGCAATGTGGGATCCTAGGACAGAAAAAGGACATTAATGGGCCAAGTGGTGAAATTTGAGTAAGATCAGTTTAGTTAATAACATTTTATCATTTAATTTCCTGATTTTGATAATTGTATATGGTTATATAAGATGTTAACATTTGGAGAAGTTTAGTGACGGGTATATAGGCATCCTTTTTACTGTTTTTGAAACATTTTTATAGTCAGGCTGAAATTATTTCAAAATTAAAAAATAACCTGTGCTTGGGCCCCACATCTCATGGATTCTGATTTAACAATTCTGGGGTAAAGCCCAGGCATTCGTAATGTTTAAAGTTTCTATGGGTGATTCTAATGTACAGCCAGGGTTAAGAACTAGGGCCCTTATTCGGTGGTTCCCAAAGTGTGGTCCCTGGACAAGCAGTATCAGTATCACCTGTAAACTTCTTAGAAATGAAAATTCTCAGGGCCCACCCCGGACCAACTGAGTCAGAAACTGGTGGTTGCCCCTCTGTTTTAACAAGCCCTCCAGGTGACTCAATGTATGCTTATGTTTGAAAATCAGTGCTCTGATAAAATTAAGCACAATGATGGAACACACAGGCATGAACTAATCAATTGTATGTTTACAAAGTTATTTAAATCACAACTATCACCATAATAATCAATGGTTAATAGGCATAATGCCCAAACTATTAATATATAATCATAGATAAAATTAATCTATTCTATGTGGTCACTCATTCAACACTTAATTTGAGTATTTACTATGTGGCAGGCAGTCTGTGCTAGGTGCTTGGGTATACGATAGTGAATAATAAGACACTGTCCCTACCCAAAGGGACTTTTTAAGGTTTTAATACAATTCAGTGCAATAAATGCAACGATAGAAGTTCTACCGAACTAGACAGTCCTAGACAGTAGGACCACACAGGTGAGTCAAAGGAAGCTTCTCAAAGGGGAGCAAGTTTTAAAGGAGGAACAGGAGTTGGACTGGGCTTCCCCAATTTCTTGGGGGAGGAAGAGTAGAAGGAATGGGCAGAGAGAAGATAGTGGCTCAAACTATGACTGTTGAATTAAGGTTGGAAATTAGGGGATGGTTTAGAGGAAAAATGATATTGAATCAGTAGGAAGGGGAGAGGGAAGGATCTAGGATCTACCTAAGTTTCTGGTTTGACGCACCCGGGTAGGTGTTACTACCATTCATGGAGATAAAGAATACAGGAGAAGGAACAGGGATCATCATTTTATTTGCTTCGCAAATTCTCTGCAAAAACTGTTCTGCCTTCTACCCTCCCCCACAAGAATAGAACACAAAAAAAGTAGGTTGGGACTTTTTTCTTTTTTTAAACTGGTCTGACAATAAACTGAATTATCCCATACACTCAGGCCTCCCGTATGGCAGGCAAGAATTCTACCACTGAACCACCAATGCTGCTAAACTGAATTATCCCATACACTGTCCTTTATCTTCACTGAATTCTATTACCACACAGTTACAGGAACCAAAAATTCATCTGGGGCAAATAGACAATGATTATCTATTATAGGTAGAACAAAGCACAGATTATTAAGATTCTTATGACTACTTTGTACTCTAGGAAATGTCCAAAGATTAGATTACAACATGAGGTTTGCGTTTGCATGATGGTATTCCTCGTGACTTCTGTAGAAATGGTATCTATGGAACTGATAAGCCTACCAAGGACAAAGGTTCATGTCATAGGAAGCTGAAACTTTTACAAGTCATCTTGACATTTCATTTTCCTTCTACTTTTATGCCAGAATTAGGTTATCTCAAAATGAGGATAGAGGAAAAACTATCAAACCAACAAAAACCATGAAAAAGGTGGAAGTTAAAGAAAGGGAAAGTAATTTGTATATGGGTTTTCTCTAAGGAAAAAAGTAACAGAATTCCCTAAAATCTCTCTACTGGTATGACATTACTAAGTTGCTAATACTGATTCACATGAATTTTGAAATTAATACATTCAGTTTTACTTTCTACAGTTTGTTCACTTCATGGCAAATAATCAACAGGTGGCAGCACATCATTCTTAAACACAGTTTCTGATCTGTGCAAAAAATGCGTTCTGGAGAAGTTGTGTATAAATCAAGCTTTTGGAAATTAAATTCTGTTTTATAATTCCAGGAATTCTTTATCTTAAGTTCTGATTGATATGCAATAAACAATGGCTTCTAAAGTTGAAAAGTTTCTCCCTTAGCCTAAGTTAATAAGCCAACACTTAAATGCATTGGAGAGAAGCTTTCCAATAAAAAAATCTTTTTCTTCTGTGAATAATCCCCACTCTTAATGCATTTCATCTGTTTCAGGTACATTTGAATGTGTATATTAAGTTAAGGTAGGGGTGCATCCTGCATTGCATCATTGTTACTAGAAAAAACCTGGAATGTGTTAATGGATGAATAGAATAAATGCTAAAAAGCAGGAGTACTCTGCCTGGTGTCTAATCCCCAATGGATCATTTGTGGGGCACTCATTGCCCCTCAGCATGGTGCTTACTTGCTGACTGCACATGTTCCTCCAAAGGCGGTTCATCTGCGCCCTGAACTGAAGCATATCCCGACGATGCAGTTTCACTGCGATTATCCTCTTCATGAGGAGAGGCACTATTGGATGCTTCGTTGGATGCCGGAACTTGTAAAGACACTGATCCATCTTCAACATCCACCTGCGGAAAGCATTTAAACACATTAAGAGGCTCTCAGAGTATACGTTTTTCCTTGACGTATCATTACAAAGTTTCTTCATAGGTGACTTATTAGAGCAATGCTTCTTAACCTTTTAAACCTACAATTCATTTTTGATGATCACAAAAATTTCTTGCAGGTCCCAGCCAGAGCAGTTGGAGTAATTGGGTCCAATGGGGTGAAAGATGTTACAGGCAGATTGCCATCAATATCTGACATGTTTATCTGGGTGAACACTTCATAATATAATGCCTGATACAAGGAAGGCACTCAAAAAACATTCCTATGCTGTCTCCTAGGGGTTTTGAGAATCACTGTCGTCTGTATATCTCCTCAAGTCAGGAAGAGTTTGTTGAGCTTGACTTTCTGTTGTGTGTACTGTGAAATGGGTAGGTTTTTTTTTTCATTTACGAAATATAACTTAATATTTATTATACTCTCTCAAACTTTACATGCTCAGTTAACAACAAGTTTGATTGCTATGCAATAGTAAGAGAGTAAAAAACAGCAAGGGGTATCAGAAGTCAGTTGGGGTCATCACTTCCAATTCTGACCAAATAATAAGTACATTTGAGGAGAGGGAAGAAGGAGGAAAATGGAGGTGGTCCAACATGGTACTTCTCTGTCACTATGATGTAAGTAGGTCCAATTTTTGGTATAAACCGTAAGTCTAGCACATTATGTAGCTAAAAAATAAGGATTTTTTTCCTGAAAGCCCAGATATATAAATAACACACTGCTTAAGTTCCTTCGTATAAATAGTTTAGCAATATTTACCTCAATTCCCAAAGCTTTGAGTATGTCACATTTGCACATGGGGCAAGTCCTGTGTTCTAATAGCCATGGGTCAACACATGTCTTATGGAAAATATGGCTAATGAAGGAAAAGAACACATATTTTGGTTATCAGTTGTGAACTAGCAACACTTTGCCTAATATACTAATGGGTTACCCTATAAGTTTACTTAGTCTTTTAACGGATGCCTTTTTTTTTCCTTTTAAACACACTATTACAGAAACAAAATTTGGAAATTTCCTAATACGGTACTTTTAAATATAGCCTCATTACTCTAGCTTCATAAAAACTATTTTCAATACCACTTACTTGAAAAATTGCTAAGATGTTACCTGACCTAAGGTTTTGTTCAGTAATTCGGATCTTAATTATTTTGTTATTCCCTAACTATAAAATAGTACAGTTAGTCATTCTCAATAATATAGTACAATAAAGTATTGAGTGTAACATAATTCCGATACTTTAGGCAATGTGATAAGTTCCAAGAATGCCACTATTTAATAGCTAAAAGGAAGAGTGTTAAGAACAACTTCCGGGAGAGGGATAGTAAAAAGCTAAAGAATGAAGACTTCCAAATAGGTGCTCATAAGCTGATTTTATTTTTTTCTCAATAGGATTGGTAGAATTATTTTGAATTAAATAATCCAGTACCACACAGACACACAGACACACAGACACACACACACACACACACAATTAAATAAACAGTGATGCTGGCTAGGTTCTTAAGTCTTTTACGGAACTAGTTTCCAAATTGTACCAGATTATGGAAATATTGTATAATTAGCCTTATACCACTTCTAATGACATTAAAAATAAAGCAATCACCTATATTTAAATGAAAAGAAGTTAAAAATAAACACTTTCTTTACATCAAACTGGAAACATTCGAAATAGTTTCCCCCACTACAATCATTTTTGTAAGTCAGCTATTCTTATTGACGACATAAAAGAAAATCAAACTTACTTGCAGGTTAAGATGCGCACCAAATCATTAGGTTTATATAGTTCAATACACACAGCGCAACTATCTCCATCAGGGCCAATTTCCTAAGAGCAAATAGTTATTGTTATTCAGATGGATAAGAAAAATACATTAAACTACAGAGCAAAATCAGAATATACATTATTTAATATATTACATAAATTCCTACAGAAGAAGGAGCATCACATCACTAAAACGACTGTTTCAATAAGCAGTTTAAAATTATCTAGACTTAATTGGAATCTAAAAAAAGAGTCAAACTCATAGAAAGAGTGAGTAGAAAAGTAGTTTCCACGGTCTGAGGAATGGGGGAAATAGGGAGAAGTTAATAAAAGGGTACAAACTTTCAACTATAAGATGAATAAGGTCTGAAGATCTAATGTAAAACATGGTGACTACAGTCAATAACACTGTGTATTATGTAATTGAAGTTGGAAAATAAAATAAAATATTTAGACTTTAAAAAGTAAAAGAAAGGGGCTTCCCTGGTGGTGCAGTGGTTGAGAGTCTGCCTGCCGATGCAGGGGACACGGGTTCGTGCCCTGGTCTGGGAGGATCCCACATGCCGCGGAGCGGCTGGGCCCGTGAGCCATGGCTGCTGAGCCTGCGTGTCCGGAGCCTGTGCTCCACGACGGAAGAGGCCACAGCAGTGAGAGGCCCGCAAACCGCAAAAAAAAAAAAAAGAATCCACTTGCCAATGCAGGGGACACGGGTTCGTGCCCTGGTCCGGGAAGATCCCCCATGCTGTGGAGCAGCTAAGCCCATGTACCACAACTACTGAGCTTGAGCTCTAGAGCCCGCGAGACACAACTACTGAAGCCCGCACACCTAGACAACTAGAGAAAGCCCACGCACAGCAACAAAGACCCAATGCAGCCAAAAATAATAAATAAATAATTTTTTTAAAAAAAAGTAAAAGAAGGAAGTTCCTTGGTGGCCTAGTGGTTAGGATTCCGGGCTTTCACTGCTGTGGCCCGGATTCAATCCCTCATTGGGGAACTGAGATCTTGCAAAGCCACTAGGTGCAGCCAAAATAAGTAAGTAAGTATATAAGTGAGTGAGTAAGTGAGTAAGTAAGTAAATAAATAAATAAATAAACAAACAAATAAAGTAAAAGAATAAAGTCCTGCAAAGCCACTCAGTGCAGCCAAAACAAACAAACAAATAAATAAATAAAGTAAAAGAATAAAGTCAACCAAAGAGGAACAGTACAAAGAGAAACATGTAGCACTGATTTAAACCTCTTCCTGGTTTTAGAATTTACACAATGCCACAAGTTCTATGGCTACGTTTTTCCATTAAAATAAATTAAGGTATAAGTCACATGCAATAAAATTCACTCTAAATGTTGAGTATACAGTTTTTCAAGTTTGGAGAAACATGCAGTCACTTAATCACCACCATAGTCAAGATACAGGATAGTCCTGTTACCCCAACAACTTCCTCTATACCACTTAGTAATTAACCCCTCCTTTTATCACTATCTTCTGCCACCCACTTATCTGTTTTTCAGTGCCTGTAGTTTTGGCTTTTCCAGAATATCTTATACGTGGGATTGTGCCTTATATAGCCTTTGAGTCTGCCTTCTTTCACTTAACGTAATGCATTTGTGATTCATCCATGTTGTTGTATGTATCAGTAGGATTCCCCCCTTTTTATTGCTAAATAGTATCCCATGCTATAGATGTACCACAGTTTTTTTTATCCATTCAACACTTGAAGGACATTTGGGTTCTTTCCAGTTTCTGGTAATTATCAGTAAAGCTGCCATGAACAATTGTGAACAAGTTTTTATGTGAATGAGTAAACATCTAGCAGTGAGATTGCTGGGTTCTTTTGAGAGTGTATATTTGACTTCATAAAGAACTGCCATTCACTCTGCTGTACAGCAGAAACTAATACAACATTGTAAAGCAACTATACTCCAATAATTAATTAATTTATACATACACACACACACACAGAACTGCCAAACTGTTTTCAAAACTGGCTGTACATTGCATTCTCACCAGAAAATGCATGAGAGTTCCAGTTGTCCCACATCTGGTCAGCTCTTGGTCTTAGCCATTCTAATAAATGTGCTGTGGGTATTGCATTGTGGTTTTAATGTGTATTTCCCTAATGACTAATGATGTTTAGCATCATTTTATGTGCTTTTTTGCCAGCCATATACTTCTTTGGTAAAATGTCTGCTTTGACCATTTTTCCACTAATAGCTAATAGCTTTTTTTTTTTTTTTTTTTTTTTTTTTGCGGTACGCGGGCCTCTCACTGTTGTGGCCTCTCCCGTTGCGGAGCACAGGCTCCGGACGTGCAGGCTCCGCGGCATGTGGGATCTTCCCGGACCAGGGCACGAACCCGTGTCCCCTGCCTCGGCAGGCATACTCTCAACGACTGTGCCACCAGGGAAGCCCATTAATAGCTTTTATAGCATCTGCCTTCTGTCTGTTCTCTTCTTGAGTTTTGAGAGTTCTTTATATATTCTGAATACAGTCCTCTATCAGATATGTGATTTGCAAATATTTTCTCCCAGTCTGTGGCTCGTCTTTTCAGTTTCTTAACAGAGTCTTTCAAAGAGCAAAAGCTCTTAATTTTAACAAATTTCTCTTTTTTCTTTAATGGACTTGTTTTTGGTATCATATCTAAGTAATCTTTGCCTAACCCAAGCTACAAAGATATTTTTCTCCAAAGTTTTCTTCTAAAATTTCATAGTTCTAGGTTTTATATTTAAGTCTGTGATCCATTTCAAGTTAATTTTTGCAGAGGGTATAAAGTATGGATTGAGGTTCATTTTTTTTTGTCTATGGATATTCAGTCATTGCGTATGGAGAGCCAACAATTGGCTGCCCTTTCTTCTTTGAATTGCTTTTGCACCTTTGTCGAAAATCAATCGACCATTTATGTGTGGGTCTATTTCTGGACTGTCTCTTCTGTTTCAAAGATCTAAAGGTCCATCCTTTCCCTAATACCATGCTTTCTTGACTACTGTAGCTTTAAAATAATTCTGCAACTCAGAAAATGTGAGTCATCCAAATTTATTTTTTATCAAAATTGTTTTGGTTATTCTAGTTCTTTTGCTTTTCCAAATAAACTTAGAGTCAACTTGTCAATTCCTACAAAAGATGCAACTAGGATTTTGATTGAAACTGCATTGAATCTACAGATCAGTTTGGGGAGGAAGTGACATCTTGACGACAGAGTCTTCTAACCCATGAACATGGTATATCCCTCCATTTCTTTAGGTCTTCTTTGATTTCTTTCTTTCATTATGTTTTGCCCTTTTCAGCATACAGATCTTGTACATATTTTGTAAGATTTATACCTAAGTATATAATGGTTTTGGTGCTATTATAAATGGTATTTTTTATTTCAATAAGTTCTGTAGCTATATTTTTATTGTAGTACAAACTTCCATAGCTATTTTTTGATACGTGTTTTATACATCAATGGTAGTTTTCAATTGTGCTAAATCTGAAAATGGATGTTCAAGTAGAGTTGTACTGAAGCACTGTAGTAATTTCCTGTTGCTGTAACAAATTACAATAACTTAGTGGCTTAAAATGACACAAACTTATACTCTTACCGTTATTGCTCATGGCCCCTTTCTTGCATCACTGCAACCTCTTGCTTCCATTGTCACATCTCCTACTGCACTGTAGTCAAATCTCCCCTTTCCTCCCTCTTATAAAGACATTGTGATTATACTTAGGATCCACCTGGATAATCCAGGATAATCTCCCCATCTCAAGATCCTTAACTTAATCACATCTGCAAAGTACTTTTTGCCATATAAGGTAACATTTACAGGTTCTAGGGATTAGGACCTAGATGTCTTTGGGGGCCATTATTCAGCCTACCTCCAGCATCAAATAAATTAAAAAATCAATAAGATTTATAAATTCCAATGAAAATCACACTTTGGAAGAACATTTAGCTTTTAACAATGGCTTGGTAGCACTGCTTTAAAACAAATAGCATTTACAAGTCATAAATGCACCTTGTCTCCTTGTTTCAGTGTGCGGAGTTGAAGCCTTCCAATAGCTTTTTTGGCGTCTGCCTTTAATTGTCTCTGTAATAAAAAAAATAGCAGGTATTAGAAAAAGTATTTTTAAAAGAAATATGATAAAAAAGGTAGAGAGGATTAATAAATATTTATGAGGTAAAAGTCAATGTCTAAGTAAATTTTAAAAGATAAAATTTAATTAGCCATAATAAATGCCCATTTATCTGATACCAAGCAGGGTTTTTTTTAATTACTGAAACCTTATGTTTCCCTACCTTCTTAAACAGCAGCTTTGGGGCCACAACGGTAAAGCTATGCGTCCCTATTCCAAATGGATTCGGATGCTATGAATTTTCAAAGCAATTTTCCTATTTTCAAAAGCCCAGAGGACCTTAAGTTACATCTTTTCCAATTTCTTTTTTGAATCGTGTCTTGTTTGGTAGAAAGTGCATTGGATGCAAATGGACCTAGCTTCAAAATCTGACTTTGTCACTTACTAAATGAATAATCCTGGACAAGTCATTAAATCTTTGAGCTTGTTTACTCATCTATAAAATGAGGATAATACCAATCCTTACAGTGTTATTTGGTATTAGGGAAAAAAATTGCTGTTTATAACCACTACTGCCTTGTAAGGAGGGTGGATTCTGAGAGTGGTAAGCCTTTTTTTTGTTTCACTGAACATATACCTAGATGAGTCTGGATATGCAAAGGCAAGTCCATGGCTCATTTAGGGACCAAAGACTAAAATATTACATACATATCTATATCTATCTATGTGTGTGTATATATATATATGTGTATATATATGTGTGTATATATATGTGTGTATATATATATATATTCAAATATATATATTTGAATCAGAAGTGAGGTTAAGGTATAGGGGGAAATTTAAAAGGTGAGGGAAAAGTGAGAAAGAGAGGAATCAATGAGAGACTATCCCTCTGTGTGGGATGAACTGGCCAGAGGAAAAATCTCCCAGGTGGTATGAGATATTTGGTGTTAATTTGAAATTATTTGTGATGCCACAATTAACCTTCCTTCTATTTCAGTAAAATCTACCACATACACGAATGCCTCAAGTGAAGATATTATATGTGTAAATTGAAGAAGAGGCTAGGTTTCACACCTGGGTGAATGCTGTATGGAATAGAGAGATAGCATGTGCAGCATGGCAAGATGATAAGCAATCTTCCTATTTTGTACTGTAAAATGAACAAACTTATAGAAATTCAGCAGAAAGTAGCTGCTCAGAACCAGAGGTCTTGTGAGGATGTCAACAACTTCCTCATCCCCCTGTATGTACCTCCATCCCCAGCAGGGAGACACCTAGGTGACATTGAGGTTACATGAAAATTAGAGATAACGTTAAGTAAAGTATCCAGCATAATGTCTGGCTGATAGCAGACACTCAATAAAATGTTTATTAAATGAAAATATAAAGTACTATTTATTCATCAATTAGCATTACAGATTTATACATATCTGTAGCAAATATATTTTGGAAGGGAATAATCCATGGGTGTAGATATGTGAGGAAATTCCTTAATGCCCAAACCTGCCTCCTATAAGATATCATTTTGTGAAACGTATTTGGCTTGATGCCAAGGACATTACTGCCAAAATATTTCTTTGCTGGCATAGTAGCAGCAGAAACTTCTCAGATTGTTACCTGACTGGCAAATATAGCTCACAGAAACAGTTAATAGGAAGGCCTAGCTCTCAGAAGGAAAGAGGCATTAATCGAAGCCCTTTCACTCTCTCTTTGAGACTTAATCATGGATTTCACTCACAAGGGGAATTTTATGATGGTACTTAATTTTTTAAATAAACTTATTTATTTTATTTATTTTATTTCTTGGCTATGTTGGGTCTTCATTGCTGTGCGCGGGCTTTCTCTAGTTGTGGCAAGCGGAGGCTACTCTTCGTTGTGGTGCACGGGCTTCTCATTGAGGTGGCTTCTCTTGTTGCGGAGCGTGGGCTCTAGGCACGTGGGCTCAGTACTTGTAGCTCGCGGGTTCTAGAGCGCAGGCTCAGTAGTTGTGGCGCACAGGCTTAGTTGCCCCACGGCATGTGGGATCTTCCCAGACCAGGGCTTGAACCCGTGTTCATGCATTGGCAGGCAGATTCTTAACCACTGCGCCACCAGGGAAGCATGGTACTTCATTTTGAGCTTAAATATTTTCCCTTCTGTCACTTGCATCACAAGTAAATAATAGGGTGACAGTGAAAGGAGACACACTTAGGATCTTTAGAGCTGGAAAACTCTTAGAGTTCACCTAGCCTGAGATCTTATCTGACAGATAAGGAAACTGATGCCCAAAGAGAAAGAATGCTGTGCTCAAAATCTCAGAGTTGGTTAGTGTCAGTCCCACTGAAGCCCAGAGTTTGGGAACACTTAACTCTCACTTCAAGGTAGCCATCTTTTGTTTACTGTGGCTTGGAGCAGGAAGCTAGTACTACTTCCTTACATTTATATAGTTATTTTATAATTATTTTTGATATATATTACCTCATTTAATCCTCACAACAATCCCCTAAAGGAGAGGATATTTCCATTTTAACGTTGAGCAAGTGGAGGCTTGGAAGAGTAAAATAACTTGTCCAAAAGGGCATGCAGCCTCTGAATGATAGGGCTGGTACTGGAAGTCTGCTCTTCGTATTCCAAGATTCCATTACGATACAACCATCCAAAACTTTCTGAAGTTTTTCCAACTCCTGGATTCTACGGTCTGTCAAATTGTGGCCAGTCCTTACAGTGAACAGCCAGTAGGCCCACAGGATTCTGGCCCTGGCCTAGATTTCCAAACATCACTACTTTCTTTTCCTATAAAGCATGAGCTATTTCAACACGAAGATGAAAAAAATGCAAATGATACAAAAATAGAGCCAACAAGAGAAAACTGGGCAAGGAAAAAATGTAGTTGATAAGAAGTCTTTGACAATCATTTTGCAACCTGTCTTTAGAGCACTTCTGATTTAGGTTTAAGTAACAAGCTCTATGACACAACTGGGGAAATGCACTCACAAGGAAGTAATACATCTCTAGTGTATTTACCTGATTATATCTATATAGTCTGATTTCTCATTACGAAATATAAATGCATGAGTCTCCAGTGCTAGTGTTCATCAATTCATCAGGGATGAATGCTAACTATACAACTTTGATTATATCCAAGACTAATGCAACTTAATTTGAGAGATGGGATTGAACACAAACTTTAAATGTAATGTCCAAGTCTGTGTGAATGAGAAAAGTGGAACTTAAGACCAGAAGATCCAAAAAAAAAAAAAAAAACCAGAAGATCCTAAGCAAGGGACTTGATTATGAAGCAGCCGTAGAATTTTAAAAAATCCTTTAAAGGGCAATTTGAATATTTCCAATAACTCTTACCAAGCTTTTATAAAGAAAAGACATTTCTTTCAATATGGAGGAGCGACATGTGGTTTTGTTAAGAAGCACAAACTGTATTTTTAGAACCTGAATAAAGGTCACTTTTAAAACTGCCATCAGTACTCAAACTATTTCACTGTCACACTGATAGCAGAAGTTCCCAAGATGCAACCATTCCTCTAAAAACTGACATATGAGAACAAAATTAAGACCAAGTAGTTTATATTAAATATATGTTTGGGTAATTTTGTTTAAGTCAAACTTCTGGCTTTAACATTTAAAGAGAATACGCCCCAATGCAAACTTTAATTTATATTTGATTCCTTAAAAAACAGAACTTCAAGAGTATATCTACTTTGTTACACAAATTACTTTGGACACCTTTTCAGTACCTCTCCACCATATCAGAATTCTCCCCTACCCTATAAATTCCAATAGCACATTGTTTCTACCTCTTATATTCTGTAGTTGTATTATTCATGTGTCTTTTTCTCCTAGTAGATTGTGAGTAGGTAGAAGACTGGTCCTTAATCATTTAAAAAAATTCCCATAATGCCTAGTAGTTGCTCAAAGAATAGCTTCTGAGTTTAGAAAAACAGATTTTCATGATTTTCTCATCTAAGTTTGACTCATTAAAAGCTTCTATTCTATCAAATCTGGGAAAATAAAGGTTTAGAGAACATGTATTGGGCCCCTGCCATGCGTCAGGTTTAACCCTAAGCTTTTTACATGTGTCATCTTGTTTAAACATTAACAACCTTATGGAATAGGTATTTTAATATCCAAATTTTATGGACAAGAAAAGGTTCTGAAGCTTGACTAAAGTCCAGGCAGCTGGTTAGTTGCAGAGCTGCTATTCAATTCAAGCCCAGGTTCTATGTGGCTTTAAAGCCCATGATCTCTCCACTATAGCACACTTCCTCCACTGTGTAACAGCAAAGAAGCCTTTAAAGGGCTTCACATTCCTTGTGAAGAAGATAAATGAAAGAAATAAGAAAAAAACCCCTCAAAGTCAGCTATTATCCAATCTTCAAATCCTTCCTCAACTGGCTACTTACTGTGATTTGGGGATCTCTTATATATATATATTTTTTAATAAATTTATTTTTGGCTGTGTTGGGTCTTCGTTGCTGTGCGTGGGCTTTCTCTAGTTGCAGCGAGCGGGGGCTACTCTTTGTTGTAGCACGCGGGCTCAGTAGCTGTGGCTCGCAGGCTCTAGAACTCAGGCTGAGTAGTTGTGGCACACGGGCTTATTTGCTCCGCATCACGTGGGATCTTCCCGGACCAGGGCTCGAACCTGTGTCTCCTGCATTGGCAGGTGGATTCTTAACCACTGCGCCACCAGGGAAGCCCTGGGGAGCTCTTTTAAACAGGTATTTTATATCAATAGACTCTACCCACCTCTCCCCAATCCTAAGAGATACCTGGTCTAAGAATATTTGGCAGAGTAGAAGATTGATTCAAAGCATCTTGGTTTTTCGCCAATTTTCTTAACAGAAGCTTAATGCCATTAGTCTATTCAAAAGCTGGGATGGTTCTAGTCACTGAAGAATTTCAGCTGTATAGTTGTTTTGTTTCTGAGTGACACTTTAAGTGGACTGAAAATGAAGAGTCAGGTCAATTCTTACCCTATATTACAATGTTCAATTTTTAAATTACAGTGAACTCA